CCGTTGCGTTTGAGGGTCTCGCGGAATGATCGCCTTGGCCCTCGTGTGCGCATTGGGGTCGATAAAGAGACTCGAGCGACCGGTGATGAAGGTGAGAGAGTTGTGCCATGGAATCAAACGCGGACAAAGCGCCCGACAATTGAAGCAACTGGCGGGACCCCGGGGTCCCCATCGCTGCCCCGGGGTTGGAAAAACCGTGTAGCGACACGAGTCTTGCTGCCTTACCGACAACAACAAAACTAGTGGTCAATCGATTGGCCTCGTCGAGAGCAACTCGGGGACACTAAGTTTCGTAAAAAGTTGAAAAATTACATAAACACGTTAAATTCACTGCCTGGGGGGCGGCGGGCTCGCCTCGGCAAAGAAGCTGAGGATCGACGGCTGACCGGAGGGCGTCGTCGCCGCGCGCGATCGCGGCGGACGCCCCCCGGGGCTCGCGTTTGCCCGGTGGGGTGGCGCCCGTCGTGTTGATCGCCGCCTGCTGCTGCTGGCGCTTGTTGGTGCGAGTCTGGGCGGGCGGCGCGTTGCTGTCGGGATCACGAGTGGGCGGACTGAAAAATAATAATTATTGATCTGATTTTTGCGGGACCCCGGGGTCCCGCCAAATGATTCAATTATCCACTCTCGTACGCACGCACGCACACACGCGTGCGTAAATAATCACACGAAACAAAGACAAAGGTCCCCCGTATAGCCTTAACAGACTGTCGTGGCAAGTGCTGTTAGCGAGCACCTATGAAGGCCCGGCAACGGTACACGAGGGGGTGGGGTGGCCACCACCACGCCCGACCGCCTTTGTCTCCCCAGTGGCGATGTTTACACACCGCACCAGGTACTAATTTTGAAGCCGAGTCGACCTAGGGGAGGCCCAGGACCGGTTCAGATCATCGCTATCACCGGTGTTGGCCGTGAGCGGGAATCAAACCCGAGTCGCTGTGTTCGTAGCGCATCGTAGCAGTAACCGCTCCACCACCGCTCCCCACAAATAATCACGCACGCGCGCGCACACACACGTGCCCTGTGTGATACGCGTTCGCGCGCATATACCGCACGCTCGCCGTGAGTAAACACACCCAGAGCAGGGCAGGGGACCCATTGAACGAACGGCGATGCGAGCCTGCGACACATTCTCCACTCGCACGCGAACCGAGTCTGCTCAATTCCGCCCTCCCGCCAGTAGACTACCCAACGATAGCTGAATTATCACTAAACTCAATCCACACACACACACACCCCTCCTTCTCCTCCCCCACGGCTCTATCCGTTGCACCTGCTCAGACTCATAAAGAATCAACCGTTCCGCCGCCGTGTTTTGTGCTCCTTTCTCATTGTAACGTCGCAGGAAGCTTGCGCCCAGAGCCAACGATCAACAAGGGGAGGCCACGGAGGCCGCGCACGCGATGCGTGAGCGCCCAGTGGCGTAACGCGACCTGGGGGACACTCGCTGAGTCCACACAAGACAAAGATTCCCCCCGGATAGCCTCACACAGACTTTTGGGGCAAGTGTCGTTAGCGAGTAGCCAGCACCCACGGAGGCCGGCACGGCACGCGACGTGGGTGGGGTGGACAGCACCATGCCCGCCTGTGCACCAGTTACTAATTTCAGACTGAGTCGACCTAGGGGAGGCCCAGGACTCGTTCAGATAATCGTCACTGCTGTTGGTGGTTGGCCGTGACCGGGAATCGAGCTCGGATCCGTTCCCACGGCACCTCCGATCAGGACGGTTGGCTACGTACGGTACGAAAGAAGTTCAACATACATACATGCAGTGCACTAACCGCTGCGCCACCGCTCCCCTACAAAGACACTCACACCATCACCATCCGGCCCACGTCATCCCGCACTTCCGGTCAGCACGGTTGGCTACGTACGGTACGAAAGAAGTTCAACGTACGTAGCTCACTCTGCCACCCACGCTCCATCCTGTCCCAGTTCCCTCCTCCCCCCATTCACCTGCCGATAACCCTAGCCCACCGCACCCTCCCCCCAGACACACCTCACATACACCGCCCCCCCCCCCCACCTCGTGCTCATGACCCCTATCAGCTTCCTGTCACCTTCCTCTGTCTGACACCTCCTGTGTGGAGGCGTGTGCGTGTATTGACTGCCCTCGTTTGAAAAGGTGACCTCTGTTGAACCGTCGAATTGAGCAGCAGCAGCAGCAGAATTATCGTAATGTGTATCATCATTGATCATAGTGATCAACATGGTGATCGGCATAGCCATCATGATTACCATACAGCACAAGCAACAGCAGCATCGCGATCACGGCGTGTCTTCGCAAAAGCCTAACCTGACACCCTCGATTGGCAAGGTGACCTCTAGCGACACGTGCTTTCCTCGCCAGCATCTGCAGGATTGTCGTCACCTTGATCATTCAACGCAGTCATCAAGTCATCACATCTAGCATCATCATCAGCAGTAGGAGCAGTAGCTGCTGCAGCAGGAGCAGTAGCTGCTGCAGTAGGAGCAGAAGCTGCTGCAGTAGCAGCAGTAGCTGCTGCAGTAGGAGTAGTAGCTGCTTCAGTAGGAGCAGTAGCTGCTGCAGTAGCTGCTGCAGTAGGAGCAGTAGCTGCTGCAGTAGGAGCAGTAGCTGCTGCAGTAGCAGCAGTAGCTGCTGCAGTAGGAGCAGAAGCTGCTGCAGTAGGAGCAGTAGCTGCTGCAGAAGGAGCAGTAGCTGCTTCTTCCGCAGAAGGAACAGTCGCTCCTATTTGTGCAGCAGTAGCTGCTGCTGCATCAGCTGCACAATCATCATCATCGTCGTCGTCATGACGACCGTGTCTGTGCGTTGACTCCCGACTCTGAAGAGGTGACCTCTGCCGATGAAGGGCGTGGTCGTCATCATCACCAGCAGTGGTAGCACCGTCGGTAACATGAGTTAGTTAATCATGCACCATCACAAATTCCACCACTATCTTCATCATCAGCAGCAGCAGTAAGAGCATATCATTATATTGCGTGTCTTTCGTCTCATGTGCCTGTGTCAATGTTCTTCTCTACCTGAACTAATTATCAGTGTCTCTCCTCGTGTCGCTGTTGGTTTTGCTCGGCGAGCAAGTGAGTGTCTTTATTTCTTTACAATTATGCGCGTGCGTGCGTGCGTCTGTGTCCACGTCGTTCTGTGTTTGCCACTCGCGGGCGAAGACCCCTTGGCTTTTTGATCTTCCGCGAAGCTCATCGTCCACACTCAAACCGCAATCGGCGCAAGCCACGTCAGAAAGTTGAATTTTCCAAAACTGGCGAATTAAAAAAAAACTCTCCAAAATAAATTAAAAACCCCTCTGCTGCATCCAGAGCGGAGACCGCACCACGTGTAACGACGCCATGCCCCCGACCCACAAATACGAAGGGGACTTTAAAGCGACGAGACACTACCCCGCAATCTGGCTTGACCACCTGTGTGTCAAATCGTAGTTGTTGCTGTGCATTTACATTATCCGCCATACGACAGTAAGGATAAGCAGTGGGACGACTGCACATACCTGTCTGTAGACCCCTTATCAGTGCCTACCTATAATGACAGACCAATCCAGACCGTATTGGTCACTCCGTGCCCATTATGCATCTCAACGTTCATCCTACAAAGTCCCATCACAAGGGAGAAACACAAAGAAATAGACAAAAAAAACACTATTTTTATGCCCGCATCGAAACTGCTGTACGCCCTGTGGACCCGCAAACTCAATTTCCCCGCACAAGAATACGCCGTGACACCGTATGGGTCGACAGCGATGACTGCACGTCTCTCGTATGTCTGTCCGTGTTCCTGTACGTCTCTGCATCTATGCTTCTCGACACCAGAGGGCGCCAGCGCTGTACGCGTGCGGCGCGAGAGACGAGGAAGCCTTTTTATAATAATCATCACCTCCCCCCCTCCCTCCTACCCCCCCTCTACCCCCTGCCTCCCTCCCCCTCTCTCCGCGCCTCGAGTCTGCCCGGAGACAAGGACACGCCGCACGCGACAGATGTCTCAGGGGCAGTCCGCTGGCTGCCCCTGATAATAATTATCGCGATGCATCCTCCATCCTATCCCCGCCGCCGTCGCTTCCAATCAGAACCCTCGAATCAACGTAAATGCGGGGTGCACCAATTAGTGTTGTTGCCTGGCGGTAGTAGTTAGTAGCAGCAGTAGTATCGTTATTGCACCTGTTTCAAATCTGCTGCATTTTTATTTTTTGTAAATGGAGAGCGGCAAAATGCGTACCACCCTTGTTTCACGCGCTCCTTGAGCGAGAAATCTTGGGACACGGTGCCGAAATCGTCTTTTTTGTTTAAATTGTAACGCGCGATCTGGAAAGATTGAACCTTAAATGTGTTCAATGCGCGCTGTAAAATGTAGTTTTGTTATGAGAGAGAGAAAAAAAATGTGAATCGTATTTTTTTTATTTTTAATTGGTGGATAAAATCACCCCTTTGTAAAAAAAAATAAACTCAACAGATGGCACAGTCGCCGGCTCTGCAGCGCCCAGCTTTAATGGACGTGGATCGCACCATTATTTTATGTAAGAGTGGGGTGGGGGGGGGGTGGTTGGTTTGGGAGGGTGACCAGCTGGGGTGTGGACACGGGGAATAATACAGACTGCGTGCACGGCTCTTTATTCTAGAAACTGCGCACCTCTCTCCCACCCCCACACTCATCCAATCCCCCACCCACCCCACCACCTCCCCTGCCTCTCGGTCACTGCGCGGCGGCTGACGCATGGAAGCGGTCCACGCCTCGCTCAGTAATGACTGTCGCGTGCAAATGCGCGCTTTGTTCAAGCACCCCCCCCCCCACGTCATAATGCACGTTAAAGACCCACATTTAAAAAAAATGCATAGTGTGCTAATTTTAAACCCAATGAACTATAAATATAGTTGCTCTCTCTCTCTAACTCAGGATCGTGAGAAGGCTGTCTTGATTGGGGGGGGTGGGGGGGCAGTTTCACTCAGCAGTGGATCGATCATGGCAGATCGTGGATCACCAAAACTCCCGGAACAATAAGACAAACGCAGAGCATTCAGTTGCATTTTATATATTCTTTTATTTTCTTTGTAATATTGCACAATGCAAGACAGGAATATAAATTATTATTATACGTGGATTGAACATGCGTGCATAAATACAATCTTGTGATTGAACAAGAAATACATTATGATCTTGACAGTACTCTAACAAATGGTAAGAGAGTAAGGCAAGTTATGCCAACTCTGCTATGGCAGTAGTAACACAGTAACAATTATAACAATGCATCGTTAATCTCAAGGTGCAAATTGAAAACCATTGTGCGTAACGTGATGTTCCAAAACGACACTTGTGGCAAATCCATTCGTGTGAATATAATTAAATAAAGTTTGGTGAAGTTAAATTAACAAATAATGTTACCTTAAATTAAAAAAAAAAACTTGTGTGTTTGTGCGTTCCGTTTCCCCACTACGCTCGTGGGTTCTGGTAAAGTCACTGGAATCGGATGCGCAGAGAGCCATGGGGGGGGGGGGGGGGGGGGGGGTGAGGCAGTAATTCAACCCACCCCGCCACAATCTCTCAACCCCTCTTGAGAACTCTCAACTCCCCCGACAGCCGCTCAGCTTCCTCCAACAAGCCGACTGCACAGTTCAACCTCCTATCCCAGTTCATCTTCATCATCGTCTTCCTCCTCCTCCTCCTCCTTAAGACCCCAGCCTCACTCGACCGAGAGTCTTGCCAGGGCACCGATCCGGATCGAACCAGACCGGTCCACGGATCCTCCTCCATCAGGCTCCTTGTTTAGCCTCCAGCCAGCGAAGCCAAACTACGGACCGACTCTTGACGACCACCATCAACCATCATCATCATCATCGCCGCCACTGCGGCGGTGGTGGTCGTCGTCTTCGTGGCCGTAACGCCGATGCACTCGTCTTCTCGAGCACATGGACTCGTCTTCTCGCTCCCGCTGCTGCTTCTGCTGTAGCCGCTGCTGCTTTTTCAGCCGCTGCTGTAGCCGCTGTAGTAGCTGCCGTTACCCATCGGTGTGGCTGCGCCTCGCCCCCCGTCACGGGGCACGGGCTCGCCGGCTCAGCGCTCGGTGAGGCTCAGACTCGGCACCCACTGATTGCGGTAGCGACTCTCGGCGCAGAACGAGGCTACCGCGCGGAGGGGTCCCGCGGGCAGCGGCGAGGTCAGCAGCAGGCAGTGGAGGTCTCGGGGCTCGTCAGCGGCGGAGGAGGGAGACGTGGTGGTGGTGGTGGCATTGTCGCCATCCTCCTCCTCCTCCCCCTCGCTCTCGGCTCCCACCACGCCGACGCCGGTGCCGCTCGAGGCGCTGGCGCCGCCGTCACCGCCGCAGAGCAGCTGAGCGAGGCGCGCCACGCCGCGCACTCGGATAACGTCGATGTCGTTGTCGCCGCAGAAGGCCTGGATGAGCGTGAAGTGGATCTGCAGGGCCAGGTCAGACTCCTCGTCGGCGTCTGCGGCCAGGAGGCAGAGCACCACGCTGTCTGGGTCACTGTGGAAGCCAGGGAGGAGGAGGAGAGGGAGGACACGGTTAGACACTGGGAATTGAGCGGCGAGTCGTCGGGCGCGGCGCGTTTACCCCGTTGCATTACATAATGGAGCTATTCTCTGTACTCGTGACAATCTCACGTGCAGTGTGTGTGTGTCTGTGTGTCCCCCACCCCGCTAGGTAGACCCGGCATTAAACCGCGTGCACCCAGTTGAGGTCGCGGTAACCATCAACACTCGCGCAGTTACTCGAGTCCCCAAATGCGTCTTGGCAAACCAGCCTCGTGGTCCGCCCGTGTCCCACCCCACCCTCTACACCTCCCCTCCCATCCACTACCCAAACAAGTTGCTGGACGTGAGACTTACGCATTGAGCAGCTTGGCAGACTCGTAGACTCCGACGGTAAGGTCTCCCTGCTTGTGTGCGCCCACCAAGAGCTCCTCCAGCGCTTGCTCAACAGTCTGCATCGCCTGCTCCTCGGTGGTTCCAGTCGCAACCTCCTCCAGGGTCATGTTGCTGATGCTGCTGATGCTACCGAGGCTGCTGAAATTGCTGCTGCTGCTGCTGTTGTTGTTGTTAGCGTCGCTTTGCGCTGAAGCCACAGTGTAGCCGGTCGTAGCAGAGGTAATCCGTTTTCTCGGCGCGACAGCTCTGGGTTTCATAACAAGAGCGGGGTTCAGCGAGAGAGGGGAGGCAGAAGTAGAAGGCGAGAGAGAGGTGTGGGCTTGGGGAGCAACGCGCCTCGGTTTATATAGGCGGCTGGTTCATCACCCGTCCACGTGGTCTCCCATTGGCTTGTGGATTCCCCCCCCCCACACGCCACCAGTCACCCAACCGCCCCATGATCCCCCCAAACTGTTTCTCTCCCTCCCTTCTTCTCTCGCTTGCCTCTGCCCTACCCCCCCACCACCAGCACCCCCCATAACACACACAGACACGCGCACACATAAACCCGGCTCCCTCCCTCCCTGCGTCCGCACCTCCCCGCCTTAGCCCGCGGTCGTCCAAGCCCCCCCCCCCGCCTCACTCGAACTCAACTCCCTCCCTCCTCCTCCTCCCTCTCCCCTCTCGCTCTCCCTCCCCCTCCTCCCTCTCCGTCCCTCCCTCTCCTCCTCCCTCCTCCCCCTCCCTCCCTCCCCCTCCTCTCGCTCCCTCCTCCCCACCACCACCACCGCTTCGCCCGCCGCCGCTGCTGCTGCTGTTGCTATCTGGTGTCAAAAACAATACCGCGACATTCGAACAAAACATGCAGTAGTCTCGTGGAGAGATGTTGATCCTCCCCCCCCCCATCCACCGCCGCGCGGCTGTTATTCCATTTTCTCAATCCCTTCTCGCGTATTTACGCGAGAGACGGTCTGTTTTTTATTGTTTGAGTCGTCGTCGTCGTTGTTGTTGTTATGTACGAGTGTGTTTTTGGGTTTAGCGATTGCAACGACCAGCCCATCAACCACAACCGCCACCACCTCCTGCACGCACGCACCACCACCACCAGACTCACTCTTCACTCCGTAAACATGTTTCTTTCGCGCAGCAAGATTCATTTCGCGAAAGGAGGCACACGGTGGAGGGGGGGGGGGGTATTTTCTAGACCGTCCCTAGAAGGGTTCCCGAAAAGAACATTCGCGTGCGCACAAACGCAAAGCTTCACCGCCCCCCCCCCCCGTATAGCCTGGAAGCAGTTTCGAGGGCAAGTGGTGTTTTCTGGAACACCTTTGCAGTCCGTCGCGGTATACACGAGGGGGGTTGTATGCGCGTGTATTCTGCGCTGCTCATGTCTTGTGTGGACACGTTGCACGCACACAACACACAATGCACGATTACTAGCGCACATACACCGCTACCAGCGTACGCGCACCACTTCATCACACGCCTCTGCAACCGCATTTTGCTTCGGTCAATCCGCTGCCGCGCGAGGGGTTTTCACCTCCCACACGCCGTTGCGGGGTCGCGTGTGGCTTATTTGAGACATACTTCACCGCGGTGGTCACTGCAGGTTGCCAGAATTCAGGGGACGCGAAGCGCAATAAACACGCGAAATGACAGCGCGTCTGCACTGCTAAGCCACGTGCACACAGACTGCCATTGCACATGCAATGGACACTGACTGTTGGGGCAAGTGCTGTCCGCGGTCACCTATCAAGGGCCGAACGGCACACGAGGGTGGTGTGGGTGGACAACACCACGCCCGGCCGCCTTTGTCTCCCCAGTGCCGACGTTTACACGATGCACCAGGTGAATAATTTGAGGCCGAGTCGACCTAGGGGATGCACGGGACAGGCAATCGAACTCGGGTGGCCAGATCCGTAGCGCGGGTGGGCTAACCACGACACTACACACACAGTACACACATAGTACACACACACACACAGTACACACAGTACACACACACAGTACACACAGCACACAGTACACACACAGTACACACACTCACTAAACACATACACAGTACACACAGCACACACAACACACAGTACACACACAGCACACAGTACACACACACAGTATACACACAGTACACACACAGGACACACACACACAGTACACACATAGTACACACACACACTAAACACACACACACACAGTACACACACACAGTACACACACGCACAGTACACACACTCACTAAACACGCACACACAGTACACACACACAGTACACACACAGTACACACACACAGTACACACTCACTAAACACAGAATACACACACAGTACACACACAGTACACACAGCCAGTACACACAATACCAACACAGTACACACACTCACTAAACACACAGTACACACACACAGTACACACACTAAACACACACACAGTACACACATAGTACACACACACTAAACACACACACACTAAACACACACAGTACACACACTCACTAGACACACACACACAGTACACACACACCCACACAGTACACACACAGTACACACACAGTATACACACACACAGTACACACACACACTAAACACACACACACAGTACACACACACAGTACACATACACTCACTAAACACGCATTTGAACGCAGGCGCTCGCTTGCAAAACTGGAACACGAGAGAGGGAGAGAGGGATCTGGGGGGCGCTCCTCACCAGGGGAGATGGAGCCATTAATCTCGCAGCCAAAAGAACACCGCGTCTCTCGTTTCGTGGAATATACATTATCAGGTTTTTTTTATTTTTTAGGGCTCGTTATTACTGCGCGGTTATCCGGGGAGAACAAATCAATATCGCTGCCACACAACAGCACGCCAGCGAGATGTCTCTAAAGCCAATGGTTCTTCAACTGGGGGAGCACGCTGTACCCTCTGGAGGTGCGAGATGCCCTTTCTGGGGGGGGGGGGGGTGCGAGACATGGGCAAATTTTTTTTTAGAAGGTAAATAATCGAAAACCAAAATTTAAGTACGGGCACGTGAGTTACAACTTTGCTTCATCAAACCCCTACGTATTTATGGACAGTATGCATTTGTTTTAACGATTGACATCCAAAGGGTTGCAAGGCTGCGGTAAAGGTTAAGAACCCACTGCTCGAGAGCGATTACATTCAAACTTAATGATCATCATCATGTCCATGAGCTGGGGTCAATCCACTGCTGGATGAAGCTGTCCCCACCACCCCGAGGCCGCCACCGCTCGCTCTCTCGCGACTCTGCGATGTAATTAACAATCCACCTAAAGCACCTGCAACAACCGAGCTCATTCCATCGCTCCCATCATCTCTTACCCCCCCCACCCCATCCAGCCTCCCCGGCTTGTGAACGCCGCTGTCCGGCGCGGTTCCCATGCCACTTGCCCGGTGTCAACTTGGTCATTCCGCGTGACCTTCGGCCATCGTCCCCTTCCGATGTGTGGCGTGGCCCTATACCCAAGGGCCCACGGCCACTCACGTCTCCCAGCAGGTCGTGCGAGGCCAATAACCCACCACGCGCGCGTGTGTTTTGCCCAACTCACGCGTTCCTCTCTTTGTGTCTCTCGATCTCTCTATCTCCCTCTCTCTGTCCCTCGATGTCATTTGCGACCGGGCATCTAAACGACATTTACGCGTAAAGGCGACTACACATGGGGACCTCCCCCCCCCCTTCCCTTCCCACCGCTACTCCACTCCACCGCTTGCAGAAGAAACAAACGTCGCGTTACCGGTCACGAGTCAAGGTCGCCGTAACTTTATTTTTTTGCAAAAAGGGACATTCCGACCAGACCGGGTGTTCACGCAAATATTTCATCTCGGGAGGGAGTGCGAGAGGGTGTGGGGTGAGGGTGAGGGTGGGGGAGAAACGGGTTATGCCAATTACACGAATAAAGCATTGCGAGTGATATCTGTATGCGAAGGTTATGGTGCCCGAAAGCTCTTGACTGAAACTAAATATTTTTTTACTTTCTCGGGGAAGGCCCCACTGAGCTTAGAAGCTCTGTTTTTTTAGAAGCGACCTGGCCACAAATGAATAGGTCAACGAAGTGGCTTATATCGTCGTGTGGAAATTTAGAGCAGCAAAATACTCTTAACCCCACGTTGATTCCTCAACGCGGAGGGAAACCACGGAGGGACATGGAGAAAAATCCACGCGACCACGTGCAGAACATGCAAACTCCAAATGTGCAGCAGGCGTCCGGGTCGGAATCTAACCCACGACCTCCTGTATACCAGGCGAGATAGTTAACATCTAACCACCGTGGCGCAAATCCCCCCCCCCCCCTCCTCAGCATGATGGTGAAGTATGGTCAACGGCCAACGTGGCGTGGAGGCGGGGAGAGTCTATACGTCAGCAGTGGATTGACTATGGGAGATGTTATACCAATTGTACTTTTTTCCGTATTTGTTATGAGTGGGATAATCATCATCAGCCATGGCCAATCCACTGCTGGATGAAGTGGGTTATTTTTTTTTGTTAGTTACATCTATATATTTGCACACATTATTTAATTCAACACGTGTCCGTGCTTTAGCAACAACAAAACGTCCCAACTGCCGTTCACTCGAATGCGTTGCACTTTTTCGAGTGACATTTTTTTTTCTTTCTAAAATAGAAATCGTTGCAAACAATGCACGCGCGCGCCTGTGTGTGCGTCAGTGCACGGGCACGCGCGCGCGTGTGAGTGTGTGCGTGAGTTTCGTGAGCTATCGGTTACATTTTTTTACGTATGTCAAGGGTTTTCCCCTAGCCCAACTCAAGTGAAACCGCAACTCTGTCGCTAGTTCCCTGCGAGGTAAATGTTGCAGTTTCTTGGCACGACTGACGAGCAGCAGCAGATCTATCGTCAGCTCGGCATGCACAAGCGATGGATTGTGGGACCGCGGCGAAGAGTCCACATCCAGCAGTAGATAAAACTTGACTCATGATGGAAGTGGTAGCGGTGGTGATAATAACGATTGTGTTACGATTCTGCTGCTTCTGTTAACTTACGAAGAGCATTGTGATATGGCTGTTGCTTCGCTGCTGATACTACAACTCTTCGTTTATGAACATGTTTCCGCTGATCATGATGATGATGATTTTTGAAGAATACGATTGCTCTTACTGACTATGCATCATCATCATCAACTGGTGCTGACGAAGCCGCATCAGCTGCTTCTACTGCTGACTACCGCAATGATACCCCCCCCCCCCCTCCGAAAAACATTCTCAACAAAACTCACTTTGTTCATTGTTTACTCCAAAGGGGGGAGGGGGGGGGGCCCGTGCCAGGGCAATCTGTCCCCGCTTTTTCATGCAAAGTCCTGCACTGCCGCTGCAGCTGGCGTGA